CCCTTCCACCCCCTGCCATGATGGGATTCTGTGAAAAGTCACGGCCCAAGCTCGCTGACATTCACGCACCACTAAAGGAAGAACCAGTCCGACCTGGCGTTGCTCACGAGCCAAAGGCAAGGCTGCTGCGGTACAAGGCCACCAAAACAAGACCTTCTGAGTCACCGTTGCGGGGTGTTTCTGGAAGCAGAGCGTGAGCCCACAGGAGGAACCCGCCTGGCAGCAGCCTCCTGGGAGCATGTGGCAGCTCACAGCTTGCACCCACGGTAAGCTGGGGTCTCCGGGGAGGCCTGGTTGTCATCGCTTCGTGAATGTTACGGTTTGGGCTGGGTGAGTGCCAGGTGCCCCCCAAAGCCACTCCATCACTCCCCTCCTCAGCTGGACAGGGGAGAGGAGCTGTGACGAAAGCCTCAAGGGTAGAGATAAGGACGGGGAGAGATCAGTCAGCAGCTATCGTCATGGGCAAAACAGATTTGACTTGGGGAAATTGGTTTAATTCATCACCAATCAAATCAGAGTAGGATAATGAGAAATAAAACCAAATCTTACAAACACCTTCCCCAACCCCACCCCCCCCTTCTTCCCAGGCTGAACTTTGTGGGAACATTCTGTATCAACGAAGGTCGGGATGTCCTTGAGAGCTTCTGAACAAGACTAAAATGAGGACGTTATCAGGTGCAACAGAGGACTTTGGCAGAACTCCCAGAGCAAACGAAGGAGAAATCGTGCACAGCTAAGCCACCCAACTGAATGTTTGGAACAGGCGCGCAAACACTGTTAACCAGTAAGCATTTGGGTCGGAGCGCGTGGACAGCTTTGCAAGGGTATAAAACGCAGCTTTCTGATAAATAAAGGGTCTTTGATTTGGACATCGCAGTCCGTGTCGTCAGTCTCCTCAGAACTTCACCCCCGGTTCTCTCCCTCCTCCCCCCGAGCGGCGCAGGGGGACGGGGAATGGGGGCTGCGGTCAGTCCAACGCACGCTGTCTCGGCCGCCCCTCCCTCCTCGCTCCCTTCCCCGGCTCCAGCGTGGGGTCCCTCCCGCCGCAGGCAGTTCACGAATCACTCCAGCCTGGGTCCTTCCCCCCGGGTGCAGACCCCAGAACAGGCTGCTCCAGCGTGGGTCCCCACGGGGGCACCAGCCCTGCCAGCAGCCCTGCCCCGGCGGGGGCTCCTCTCT